ACATCTTCGTTCGAACGCCATCACTGAACAGTCTATGTGTCATCCCCGTACCAGAGCCCCAAGCCTGATGACTAGTTACCCTTGGCAGGGCTCGATCCTATTTATCATCACCCATGCCCACCAACGTTTCTTTCACTCCGCCGGACAAGTATGGGTTTAGTACAATTTGTTTTGCTCTTTTCATTGTCTGTTGTGTCTCGCGGTCTCCCTTAGCGTTTGGCGAGGAAGAACCAATAGGGAGTAGCCGCTGACCGGCCACCGTCTCTGTTTGTATCTCAGCATCACGATCCTCCTCGGGCAAGCGGCATGGAGACCGCCGGCATAGGACACGGTAGCAGGTAGCACCTAGATCGTCGTCAACAGGAAACCCTCGCAGCTACTAAGAAATCGGAGCTATTTTCACCTGTCAAAACATAAGCGTGCTATCGATAATCCAAACCAACACAAAACGAACACAAATTTAGCGTGGTTCACTAACACAATGTGTGCTAGCTAATCCACGGGCAGGGGGAGAACAAATTTCACTGATTTGAGGAGAGTACAGGTTACAAACCAAATTCCGGATGGACAAACCAAAATAAACTAGCCTGACTGACCTTACTACAGACTAGAGTGATGAAGAGTATTTATAGAACTCTTCTCCTAATCTCAAACGAAAACCAAACACCTTTTCCCAAACATACAAGGAAAAGGCCAAACACAAACCCAAACATAATAGGTCATAAAACACAAAACAAACCCAAATCAAATTCAAGTCATATCCTAACATCACCTATTAAAACTCATTGATCAAAGACTTGTGATTTAGTCAAGAAATACCATTGAAATGCTTTTCGGTTTCAAAAGCTGAAACGGGGCAAAAAACCTCTAAAAGCTTCACTTTTGAAAAGCGACGAAGTGTTTTTATATAACATAAAAGTAAAAGCTCCGATTTGGAGCTTCTACGAAAAGTTGTTTTGAAAATACAAGATAATTTTATTTCATTTATATATCATTTTAAAAATAAAATAAATTATAAAATCATGTTATTTAGTATAAAAACCTACAAAAATCCATATTCACTACTTTTTATTGTTTATTATTTTATTCATATTTTTTATTATAAATTCTTTATAGTCATTTTACATAACCTCTCATATTAAAAAGTATTTCTCTAAAAACTCTCGCAAAAAACTATTTTTGCAAAAACTACAAAAGGGCCAAACTGGCTCAATATTAATTAGAATGAATAAGTTACAAAGCCATTATTTTTCAGGTAAAAAGAAAGTCGACCTATATGTCGGCGGTAAATCAAAGCCAGATTGATTAAGAGCTTACGATTAGTGTCGGGGAAAGTATTTGATTGCGGGCCGGGAGTCGGCGGCGGCCGGAGCTTTCACTAAAATCATTCACCACCACCACCACTTGCCTGCTGCGTTGTTTTCTTCCATTTTAGCTGCCCAAATTTGTCGACTTCCATAAAAGCCCTGCCGATTCAAGCCTGTGAACGAGCTTAGCTGGGGTCCCATTCCCATATATGTGATGGGATGTTATGTAAAACAGTTTTTTCAGCAAATCCAAATCAATAATTTGATCACTCTTTTATATTTTCTTAATATGTACATGCGTATATATTTGACTAGTTTGTTCGGTACTGGTTTCGGAAAAGTACTTAATTAAGCAGTTGGACGTTTGGCTTATAAAATATTAGAAGTACTATTTTGTAACATCAGACGTAACATAAAAGGAATAAAAATATTTCTAACCTAAAATATATGAATAATCTTTATAAAAACAATAAATATGAATACAAAGCAAAACAATAAAAAAAAAATTCATAATTGATTTAACCAGAAGAACTAAAGTCACACCAACTGTTCAAATTTCAAAACTAGTTAATCCTAAGTTGAAAGCTAAGTATAGCGTGACCCCTATGTCGAATAAATACATATGATGTCCGAAGATGAAGATGAAGTATTATTTAGTATAGTACTATAGTTGCAGAATCACCTAACTTCCCCCAGTTCACTGCGTACTTGCAAAACAACCTCCTCCGCCATTGCTCGATCACTTCATATGAGGGACGGAAATGGTGGCAAAACAAGAAAGCTGCATGCTGGCCTCATTTTTGTTCCTAGGTACACGTATACTATTGTCCTTATTTCCCTAAACAGGTAGCCCAACTTGCAGAATCTTCTGCCAATAATTTGGCACATTCCTCTCTTTGTCCCTGGCCAGGCAGCCATGAGCGCAGCTTCGTCTACTTGCACGCTTTTGGTCAGATAACAGCCCCTGGCATCATCTACAACCGCGTGGCCACGCACAAAACCACCATATCCATGGGGTCATCATAATTTGATCGATGGCCACTATACATACGTGCTTCATCGACCCCAAACTGTTGTTCCATAAATCCTACTCACTACTCCAACCTTAAATAGCTAGAATCTATTTACCGTGGTTGTTGCTAATTAACATCGCTGGTGTCAAACTTGTATGCAATATTTAATCAAATATATTAAGGTATATACTATACATCATGCTTGTTTCGATAGTAATCATCAAGTAAAAGAGTCAACTTCTAAACTATGTTTTCATAACCCGATCGGAAGTTAAACCGGAAAAGTTAGTGGTTTAGGGTTCAGTGGTTAACTGTTACAAAACCGTTGATAGAACCATTCATGATATATAACATTCAAGACTTGTATAATATACTAATTTATGAATGAAGTTATAATAGAAGATTCATAATTCATATCATCACTAAAATATCTAATAAATCATTCAAACCCTCTCACAAAAGAAAATCTTGATTCTCTTAATTCAAGTTAAAAACTGTAGTGTCAGTCGGTAAGAGACGACGTAAAGTCGACATAACGAGGTTGGAAAATAAGAAGAGGAAACATAAATAAATAATTCTGATTTGATGATTTTATTTTACGTTAAAGTATTTTTTTAATGGTGGTTAAAATAGTGAACGAGCGGACCAGTTAAACCGTGACGGTGAATATAATTTTATGTTGAACTGTGAAAATCCATTTGATTTATCAATAACCGGTCGCAACAATAGACTAGACCACTATCGTGACTGCTAATTTAGCTATTCTACTAGCTAATCCGTTATTCCTGTTCGATTTTTATAACAGTGCTTCTAGAACATATGGATTGGACAAACCTAGCAGTCAAAATATAATTGACTCTGATCATTAGTCGACATAGGATTAATAGTGGTGCACCGACATAAATGGTAATGGGTCCCAAACCAACCTTAATTAACTACCGTATATATCTCGTATTTGGGTGTTATAAAATTTGACTAATTAAAAATACGTATAGAAGTTAGAATTTTCAAATTATAGTCAAGAATTCAAAGTGGTCTGCATGATTAATATGTTGTTTTATAGATAAGAGTAGGAATGACAATTTTACCCAAATTAATTGGTATTTTCTTATTCAATTCAATTGGATTGGCTACGAAATCAAAATACTAGATAAATTAAATATGTAGCGTTTAATGGGTGTATACACATACCTATTTATTTGGGTTGGATTGGTTTGAGTTTTTACTCCATGAGTGAATTCATAAAATGAATAGAAGTTCGCCCCTTGCAAGGAATAAGACGATAGGTAAGACATGGGCAGGACACCTGGTAGAGAGACCTAATCGCCGAGTTAAATAAATACCATGGCTTCAATCTTTTTCACTAAAATCATGACGCAGTAAATCAACAAAGCCCAAAGTGATCTCTCTTTCCCCTTCGACGTTCACCTACTGCAGTACCTGAGTTTTGCAAATTATAATCTGGTACCTAAACTTAATAATACTTTATATTAGTACCTAAAATTAATTTTTTATTGCATATAAATCCTCAAACTATGATGAATTACATTTTGGTACCTCATAATAATGTCTTACATTTTGATACTAAACTTTTTAAGTTCTTACAAATAGGTCTGGCTTCTGTATGTGTAGTTAAAACAACCTCAAGTACGTGGATATTCATACCCAACCCATGCCCATTTAGAGTACGGAACCGAAGCAATACTCATACCCTACCCAAACTCATATATAAAACACCAAATCCATATAAAATTCACTCATACCCTACCCATCTTCAACGGGTTTTGTACTTGAGTTTGGATAAAATTAGCCATGTATTGGTAATTGACATCCCAAAATAAGTGATCTCAAGTTCAAGGTAAGTGCTTTCCTCTTTTTCCATTGGTTATTGACTCCAAAGTTCGAACTCGGAGTGTGGTAAATGTACTCCTTGTACTATTACTAGACCAACTCGTTAGGTTTAGATGAAACTTCATTTCCCTTCTTACTCCAACTTTTCTCATTTTTTAATATTAACATAAACTTTTCTATTTTATTACTTTTTTAATATGTAATTTATTTATATTTTGTATGTAGATCCACCTCAATTAATTTTCAGGCTATGTCGTGACCCAAGCCCAAGCCCAACCCCACTTGTGGGAAACGAAACGTTTACCTCATTGCTAGCCTCCAAATCGACCCAACACAATATGCACACAAATCATAATGGCCTCACGCGCACCCACGTGCTTCCCTCCCTCCCTTGTCTATGTAGCAACCTCGCGTCCACCTCTATAAATTCATGACATTTCCCTCTTCCCATCACCATCCCACAAAAGCCACCCTTCCAATTTGTGCACCACATACTTACTAAGAAAGGAAAGGAAAGAAAAGAAAAGAAAGAAGAAGAAAAACCAGCACAACATGGCGCCGGCGAAAAATGCCACTCCACCCGCAACCACCATCACCACCACCACCACCACCAAATCATCATCAAACCGGGTACAAGAAGAAGAGGACGAGAAGCTTAGCCAGGAGTGCAAGGAGTTGCTTCTTTCCCTTCCAAGGGAGAAAGGGTGGAGAACATCTTACCTCTACAAGTTCAAAGGGTTTTGGTGCCAACCCAAGCAGATTCAAGCCATCCTATCTTTCCAAACCCACTTCCAGGTCAAGGACACCGACGTCATCGTAGCCTCCATCCCTAAATCCGGTGGAAGTTCCAGTGTGTGGTCCCGTCAGCGACGGCGTGGTTAATCGTCCAGCCGATGAACACTCCGTCGACGAGCTCTGTTATCTGGATCGACACCAGCGGCCTTATGAATCCGTGGTAGTTCTTCACGTCGTTGGAGGGGAAGAACGACCAGAGGACGGGAGCTGGAGGGACGGGGAAAGGCTGGTTCAGAGCTTCGTCGACGGTGATGCCGTCGGCGACGGCGTGAAGGAACGGGCATCCGGCGTCGTTGCAGTCGATGTAGACGGTGGCGGAGCCGTCGGGGTGTTCGTCGGCGGTGAGTCGGCCGGCGAACGGGTGGTGGAGGGCGAGGGCCTTGGAGAAGGCGGATTTCAGGTTTTCGATGAAGGCTTGACGGGAGATGGGATGATGATCGGTCGGGTTTCTGAAGAGGAGCCCATTCTGGATTGTTCTGACGAGGATGAGGCGGAGGTCGCAGGCGGTGAGGGGAATCCGTTCGAGAGGTGTTTGGGTGTTTTTGGCGTGGATGATTTCCGTTGAGAGGATTCGAACTCTGGTGTCCGGCGTTACTGGGCCAGAGTAGGTGGACGTCATGTTGTTGGGCACAGCGGAAATACGGTGAGATGGATCGAAAATAGAGGAAATTTTTTCACTCTAATATCTCACACAACTAGGCAATTGTTGCCTTTTACATTAGAGTTGCTGCTCTTGATTGTTCTACTTCTACCCTCACAAACACTCTGCCTACATTTTTCCATAACGGATTAGGCAAGTTTGTTGCCTTAACCCTTGAGAGGAGCCTATGCTCTCTAGCTCACTGTACTTTTTCAAGCATGACAATGGCATATATTTATACTACTTGCCAAGCACTCCACTGCCATACATCGAGACCTTTAGATACAATAATTATTAGGAGTTTGGTTTGATATGTGGCTATGCTTTATTTTTGTTATTTTATCTTAGTTATTGTAGGTAGTTGGCATGTGGAGATTGTCTCCTTCACTTACTTACGTGGGTCTCTTCTAGAGTAAGTGTAGGCCAATATTGGATAGATGTGGAGGATTGTGGATAAGTAGTTTTGACACAAGTTTCGGCGGGAAATATTTTGAATATGATTTTGGGGGTAAATGAGTAAATTCTGGATTACGGGGTTTAGAAATTTTTTCACCACGAACTGCCCCATCACGTCGCCGTCGCAGTGGGGGACGGCCTTCCCGCAGCTGGATGTCCTCGCCGGCTCCACCAGCGATGTTTGGCTAAATTCTGGATTACGGGGTTTAGTCAACGCGTTTGACCGTCCAAGTTAACGGTCAAACATCGTGTTTGGCTAAATTGTTTATTTTGGTGTATAGTTCGGGCCAGGATGTTATAGATCGAAAAGATTGGCCAGGATGTTTATTTTGGTCAAAGTTCAGGCCATACGAAAATATTAACCCTTATTATTAAATGTTGTATTTTTAATTTGGGAAGATGGATGCTTTGAGAAATGTTCGTAATGCTGCTAAATGATTTGTGTGAAGTATAAAATTTTCAGTTTGCTAATTACTTACATCATGTAAACCATGAACGTTTAAATGCTTACCTCCTAACTACTCTTTCAATTGATAAATGTAACTAACACATGTTTCAATGGTTGGGATAACATTGTTGAATATAAAAGATCACAAATTAATGAACTCTAAATTAACATCATAGTTTTATTAATATTCAAGCTAATCAACTCCTAAAATTGAGTGTATTGAATATCATATACGCGTTCAGTTTACTTGCAGCATCAAACAAATGGGGGAAAAACGTCTAGCATGAGAAATGAAGTTTCACATATTTCATACACATATAGGCATTGTTAGATCCACGCTCTATTCAAGAGGAGTTGTAGCCCCTCCCAACTTTCAAATGTAGGTAAAACCATTTGAGCAATTTTTTAACTCATTTCCGGGGGCCTGCCGCATATCGGACATGCATCCGGTTGAGCTAAGCGTCGCTTGCATCTCTCAACATTAGTAAGTAACTTGTAATGGAGCACCAACTTGAAAAATGATCGTGTTCTTTGTGGCTCCTCGATCCTCCATGCTCTCTTCCAAATAGGGTGCGAATGCCCAGCTTCGCCCTCTCGGGGCTAGTCGCCAAATTGGGGTATCAAAATCTCTCTCCGTAGGGACCGGATGCTGTGCTAGCTGCGACACCAGAGCTTCAAGAAGAAACGCCTGAATATATGGTTGTTTCCATTCGCCATTTAGCACTAATTCGGCCACTGTGAGCTCACGCGTTACATCGAAAGGTCAATGGCGAAGTCTGCTAGTGGTGGCCCATCCTGGAATCAAACATCCATTAAAAAACCGAGTTTGAGCCCCACTTCGGATATTCCACACCGTACCCTGCAGAATGTAGTTAAGAATCCTTTAGAATTCTCTCCATATTCGACAATCGGCCCTTCTCCCTCGGCTGACACCCTCCATCCATTCGCCTCAAATATTTACCCCTCACAAATCTAGCCCATAATTGGTCCGGTTCAGTCATCAACCTCCAAGCAATATTCATCATAAAGACCTCATTCATACGCGTGGCACTGTGGATACCTAGTCCCCCCTCCTCCTTTTACTTACATAGTGTATCCCAGTCCACAAGATGAACCTTCCTTCCCTAGATAGAGCTGCCCCAAATAAATTCGCAGATCATTTTATCAATATACTCCCTTACAGATGCCGGGAGGAAAGAAGTCTTCATAGTATAAGTTGGGAGCAACGATAAGACTGGCTGAGCTAGTTTGATTCTCGACGCCAAGAACATTGATTTAATCTTCCATCCAGCCAACCTCGCATCAATCTGATCAATGAGCTCAGTGTATGTTGCCTTGGACACACGATCATGAATCACGGGTACCCCCAAGTATCAGGCAAGATTTTTCGTCTCTCGAATATCAAGTGCGCCGCTTAGAGCTCCTCCCTCGGCTGCAGTGACATTCCTCGAGAAGAAGACATGAGACTTGGGCATGCTAACTTGTTGCGCGAATGCCGCCCAGAACTCCTCTAGGCACAGTAAGATCACTTGTACCTGGTTCATGGAATAACACTAGTTTTCATTCGCCATGTGCCACTGCCTTCGAGATGAGATGCCCGAGTCTCTCCATACATAATGTGAAAATGTAAGGTGAAAGCAGGCAGCCCTGGCATAGTCCCCGAGAAGGTGCAAAAGACTCTGTCAACCCACCATTCCAGTGAATATGCATGATGGAAGAGTAAATACAACTCATGGTTATGTCGATAAATTGCTGGAGGGCGCCCACCGCCTACAGAGTATCATGAACAATAATCCATTTAATCCTATTATACGCATTCGCAAAATCAATTTTGAGGACCATCCAGCCAACCTTACCTTATTTATCCCGTATTAAATGAAATACCTCCTGCCAAATACAGATATTGTTAGTAATATGGCGGTCTGGAACAAAACTCATCTGCATTTCATGCACCAAGCTAGGAATAATCGGCTTGATTCTCTCCGCCAGGCACTTGGTTATCATCTTGTACTTGACATTGCAGAGAGTGATAGTACAAAATTGGTCAATATTAATGGGCATTGCCACCCTGGGGATCAGGACCACAATCGTCTCGTTCGGTTCCTTCACCTTCATCGGTTCACTCAATCAAGCTTGTAGAAATTCCACCACGACAGGGCCCACAAGTTCCCAGTTCTACTGGTAAGACAATGGGTTCAGGCCGTACTTTCTCGATGCCTTAAGTCCTCCCATCGCCTTAATCTCATTATGGACCTCCTCAATCGAGAATTGAGCCTCGATCGAGATCCAAGACTGCGTTGGGATACCCTCAAACTCTGCCTGCAAAACATGAAGAGGCTCACCATGATCAGTATACATTGTTTCATAGAACTGTCTCGCGATATCGAGGAGACCAGCTTGTTCCTCCACTACTTTCCAAATCATAAATTTTGTTCCTTCGTCGTCTATTGATGGTTCTGGAATGAAAGTAGAGTGTGTTTCTATCGGCTGAGGAGCTCTTCCTGAAGTAAAATATCCTCTAGTTATGCTCGTGCCTGCACAAGTCGCGGGTCATCATCATCGCCACCAACCCATAGCTACGGCCTCTCTATCCTCTTGAGCAGATTACTCTTCCTTCTCAAGATATTTCCAAATTCATCCCGATTCCAACCTGTAGCATCCTACATAAATTTTGCAATAGCCGAAACCAAATCGGTACCCTGCGCCATGCCGCCATATCGGTAAACCCTTCGTGCGTCAGCCATGCCGCCAAAAACTTAAAGGGTTTGGGGCCGACTGGTTGGAAAGAAGGGTCCACCGTTATGATAATGGGTCAATGATCACTCATGACCCGTGGAAGATGGCTAACCACCGTGTCAGGGAATTTTCTAGTCCACGCCCAGTTAGCTATACTTCTATCAAGACGTTCCTTTACACCCGTTTTAAACCACGTATAAGAAGGAACCCGTGAATCCTAGGTCAAGTAGCCCCGTATCGTACATGCAATTTTGGAATTCTCGGGCACGAGCAGTATCAAATGGGGCGCCACCTAGTTTGTCGAATGGTTGGAGGATCTAGTTAAAGCCACTAGCTGATTACACGGTTCTGTTATTTCCTCGACCATTTCACGTAGAAAACTCCACAATTCACGTCGTTGCACTAACGCGGGACTGGCATAAACTGTCATCAGATACCATTTCTCTTGGCCGCTCGGGACCAGGACATGTAGAAATTGGACGGCTCTGTCAGACTATGTGATCGTAACCATACTAGAATTCCATATCACCCATATTCCTCCCGAGTACCCTACCACAACCACCATCAAATGTTCATCAAATCCTAGGTCTTGTACCACCTCTTCTTCTCTGATACCACTAATTTTAGGTTCTACTAAAATAACAATACTCGGACAATATTTCCTCCAATATTCCTTAAAAACTCACAGGATATGTTTGCTCATAGCACCCCTACAATTCCATGCAAAGATCTTAACCATTGATAACAAGAAAAGTAGGCAACTTCTGCCATCTCGAGGTAAGTTAGGTGGGAGATGCCTCGGAGTTGAGGTCATCCACCATCTACACATCAGTTCCACTTGGAGCTGGGTCCATTCTCACGTCTTTCACATGTATGCAACTGAGAGTAGCACACAACTCAGACGGGTTCTCCTTACTCCGTTCCTCTAGCTGCACTACCACGCTATCTCCTTCTGTTACTTCGAAAATGGTGGAAGTGTCAGGATCGAAGGTGGAGTGAGGTTTCTCGGTCATCTTCGGGGACACCGCAATAGTATTCCTCATTTCCTGTCGCTTTGCGGGAACGCTCAGCTCCAAGATAATAGGAGCTCCATGACTCTTTGTTGATGGCAGTCCTTTCTACTATGAAACAACCACCTTCTCCTTCCTCTTCCCATCATCCTTCGCCCTCTCGTGTAGGTTCTGCGACTCGCCCACATGACCAATTTCTTTAGTGTGACCCGATCCAGTAGTAGCTTCCGTTAACTTCTGTCAATTCCTCAACTTCCTAAAATATCAAACCCTGAGCTACCTTGTGCTTTGTTGCCTAGCCCCTAATCACTCTGCTTATCTTGGCTCAC